AGGCTTCCCTGAAGCCTCTGGAGCATGAAAAACAGCCCCAGGGGCAAACTGGAAGTTTGGGAACTGACTTCTGGTTTGCCCATAGGGCTGTTTTTCGCCCTCCGGAGGCTTCGCTGAAGTTCAGAAATGGACTACTGGTTTGCATGTTGGGCTATTTTTCGCCCTCCGTAGGCTTCAGTGAAGCCTCCTGAAGCCTCCGGACGGCGAAAAACAGCCCTATGGGCAAACAAGAAGTCAGTTCCCAAAATTCCAGTTTGCCCCTGGGGCTGTTTTTCATGCTCCAGAGGCTTCAGGGAAGCCTACGGAGGACCTCCACCAGGGGGGAGCTGTTTTCTCCCGCCCCAGGCTCCTAGAAAACCTCTGGAGCCTGAGAGGGTGAAAAATGGGTCCATCACACGCCAAAAGCAGGGGGTTGCGCGTGCATGTGCACAGAGGGTCACATGCATAGCATTATGGGTGTGGGCATGCCTGCGCATGAACCCCCTGTGCTCCCCCCACTTTTGGCATGCGATGGGGAAAAGGTTAGCCATCACTGGCCTAAGGCCTCAAAATGATGTTTGCCTTAGAAGTGCAGGAAACTTCCACAGAGGTATCAGAAAGCCCATTAAATAATCACTTCATTGAAGTTAGTTACATGTTCTCACAGAAACTACAGGTAGTCTGAAGATCCATTTAGTCTCCCTTTCCAAGCATCTGTTTTGATAGTCATCATTACATTTGCTGGTTGTAGATTGCATAGCCAGCGCACTTTCCCTTATCTCTAAACCAGGGGTGTCAAACTCAATTTCATTGAGGGTTTGTGTTTGACCTCAGGGGGCCAGGGTGGGCATAGGCAACTCAATGTAACTTGTGTCGAGGGTGCCTGTGGAAGCCCAGATGCTCTGCCAATGAAAATGTGCTCCTGAGCTCCGTTTTCGGCTGAGATGGCTTCTTGCAACCCTCTTGACGGCTTCTTGCAACCCTCTGCCAGCAAAAACAGAGCTCTGTTTTCTGAAGAGGGGGTTGGTCCTTTGCTGTTTCCAAGGTGCCTCACAGGCCAGATTTAACACCTGTGGGCCGGATCTGGCTGGCAGGCCTTGAGTCTGACACCCCTCCTCTAAACGGACAATATCCCTGAATTCTGATATTATATTATTGGAGGAGGATTTGTCCACCTTTCTCACAGATCATTTCAATTGCTCGTTGCTTTCCCAGTTTTTGGAGATCCAAGAGCTTGTGAGCCCTTCAAGATGCTGCAGAAACCAAAACCAAGAATACTAATATTACCTTTATTCTAAGGGTTATGGTAATTCCAAGCCAGAAAGCACTCCCCCACTCTCTGACCAGAGAACAAGAGAGAATCAATTCTCCCTTAAATGCTTTATCCACCCCATTCCTGCTATGGACTCAGTTTCCTCTTATCGGATAATTATCTAGGCTGCAGCTCTTTCTTCTGTATCTAAAGGTTGTTCTTCCAACCCATTATACAACTCTCACTTCTCCCCAGTTAAAAGTGATAGATCTGCCTTTGGCTTCGTTGCAGATTTTTCCCTTATCACATCCTTACGTATATTAATATTTCTTTAATTAGAATATTAGGAATTTTTAATATTTATAATTGGTCTGTGCTTTTATTATACAATTGCATTTGTTGCATTCAAGCTGACAAAATCAGAAAGCAGCTTCACTTGTCAAGATTTCAACTATACTGAATGGGTTGCCCTTATTTTGACATAAATTTGATAATCCAGTCACAAGGTCTGCTTAACAAAGGGAAGAGCAGCTGATTCTCAGGTTTTCATAAGTAATGCAACTTTACCAGTATCATTTAATTATTATGTCTAGGGTCCTAACTATGACGTTCTTAAAAAAAAAGATAATGTAATATGACAAAGGATTTTTTTTTTTACAAATACATAGGATGTGCATAAAATGGTGCCCTAGAGTCTTGAATAGGAATATTCTTTGAGGTTTTCAAAATGCACAATTCAATAAATAGATTGCTTTAGATATCCTCAGTGCTATTTCATGCTAATAGTATATCAGGCTATTTGTGATTTTCTGAAGAAATTACAAACCTTTGATTGTCTCCTAGAGAATATTATAATTATACTTAAGGAATACAAAAGTCATAACTATAAAAACTGCACACCTGCTCTACCTCTCATAAGTTTCCAACTAACTGGCAACATTCATACCAGCTAAGATGGGGAGGGGGCATCACGCCTAGAAGATATTAAGTTATAAGCAACTGCAATTGTTTAGCCATAATGATAAACCATGGTACATCTGATCATGGATCTTTCTTCCTTTGTCTTCATTCCAATCTGTAGATCAGGTCAGGATGCTACCATTACTATGAATGGGTCTCTTCAGTGGAGATGGAGAAGATATGATTCTCCTTATCTTACCATTATCTCTCCCATTATATCAACTTCTTGCAAGCTGCAGCTCACCAGATATCTTTTTCCATTTGCTCTTTAAGACATCTGCATCTGTTGAGGATGGATGGATCTATATTAGGTTGAGAAGTTACAACCTACGGTTTTGAAGATGGCATTGAATATTATCACATTCATTGTATTGTTGTCAATGTCCAAGAGTTGGAGTTGTCACAAAACCATGGAGGGAGGAAGCACACCGTTGGGTGTCAGGTACTGGGTGCTGTAATGAACTCACGCTGGTGGAGGGCCAGGAAGAGAGAGACATGAGAGGCCATTTCCTTTCAGTCACTTGGAAGGATTGAAACAGCATAAAACTTTTTGAAATTAATAATTTTTCACCACTACCACCCATTTGAAATGAATAGGGCCTTTTGTCTGACAGCCATATTAATAAAGGTAAAGGTTCCCCTTGCACATATGTGCGAGTCGTTCCCGATTCTAGGGGGCGATACTCATCTCCATTTCAAAGCCGAAGAGCCAGCGCTGTCCGAAGACATCTCCGTGGTCATGTGGCTGGCATGCCTAAATGCTAAAGGCACATGGAACTCTGTTACCTTCCCACCAAAGTGGTCCCTATTTTTCTACTTGCATTTTTTTACATGCTTTCGAACTGCTAGGTTGGCAGAAGCTGGGACAAGTAACGGGAGCTCTCTCTGTTACGCGGCGCTAGGGATTCAAACTGCTAACCTTTCTGATTGACAAGCTCTGCGTCTTAGCCACTGAGCCATCGCATCCCTTAGGCCATATTAATAATACAAGCTAAATTTAAAGAAAGAAAGAAAAAAACAAGAGGAGGGAAAAGTACAAGGAAAAAGAAAGAAAACAATATACTAAAGAAAGAGAAAACCTATTGAACTAGGTGGGCTTATTTTAAAGAAAGAGTGCATGGAAATCTCTGCAAGTCTGAGTGGAGTCTGACCTGTCATAAACTGAACAATGTACCTGTGCCTAAAACTTTAGGCTAGCACATTCTCAAAGCCCCATAGCTGCAATATCCTGTGAATGCTGCTGATTATTGTACATGACTATCGTAAGGGTAAAGTACGAGAAATACTTTTAAGCAATTGAGCAGTGCTATATAAGTACTATTAATAATGCTAATGCTCATCATGTCAGCAAGGAAACATAATTGTTTTGAATCTCTAAACAGATTAGTTTCACAGTCAATAATTGTTTACCTAGAATATTTAGGTACTCTAAATTTTCAAATATTTAGAAAATGATGTTTTATATCAGGGGTGTCAAACTCAATTTCATTGAGGGCTGCATTTCATTGAGAGCTGCATTGTTTGACCTCAGGGGGCTGAGGGGGGCAGGGCCAATTCAATGTCACTCATGTCGGGGTGCCTATGGTGGCCTGAGTACTCTGCCTGGGAAAACGGACTCCCAAGCAGCTTAAAAGTTGCGTCTGTGAAATTCAGTTGCTTTTATTCTAATGCAATCTTTCATTAAGGATTTGATAATGAGTTTATGTGAGTATCCTGTTGGATGTTTTCTTTCTGTAAGGAAAATAGTTTAAGTTCTATTATATAAAATAACCGGAAAAAGAGCAAGAGAAAGGGAGATGGCGCTTCCTTAGGCAAGCTACGTGATTTGATCTTTTAAGAAAGGAGAATGAACAATAGCCAGCACTTCATTCCTGCTGGAATGTTTGTAGTGTAACAAAAGATTCCTCTGGGTCAGATTGTGATAAGTTGGGTGGGATTCAGAACCTGGCAAAACAGGAGGAAATAAAAGCAAAATTAAAGAATCCTTCTCTTTTCTCAGTCCTAGGGTTTCTAGAGTAATAGCAATAGCACTTAGACTTATATACCGCTTTACAGTGCTTTACAGCCCTCTCTAAGCAGTTTACAGAGTCAGCATGTTGTCACCAACAATTTTGCTCCTTGTTTTACCGACCTCGGAAGGATGGAATGCTGACTAATGCTGTTTTATTGTACTTGGACACCTTACCCTTCAACTTGCCCTTCTATCCTACCATTCCTCTCTCTCATCTCCAATAACCATATTTTTGCAACTCTGACCTTCCTGTTTCAAGTACCAATAGCTCCATGCTGCCGGAGTCACACAGCAGCTTTGTCTAATGCATTTGTTCTGATGTCAGCTTTTATCGGCAAGGGCCCATAAAGCCAGATTGAATCTTTTTGTTTCACAATGAAACATAAACATTGATCTCACTCCATAGATCCGTTAGCTATTCATCTTCCCCCGCATCCCTGTTTCAAAAAATCATCTGTGTCACTTAGTGTGTGGAATTAAATTTGGTGCCGAATGTAGGTTACTCGCGTGCAGAGTGAGATCTACCTTCTCAATGTATGAAGATTTTCTTCGAGGCAGTTTTAGGTCTTCGGCTGGATTGGGCATGAATGACACCTGGAATCTTTCTGTGGTATCACTTTTTAACTGTGATGGCAAATCACATTTTTAATTGAGGTCTACAACCCCAGAAGACTACTGATTTTTTTCCTGCAGCTTTAGATAATTAGATGCTGAAATCTGTGAAATGTACTCTGTGATTTATTCGCCTCCTGTTTTTTGTCTGTTGCAGTGACAGCTATATTGTGCGAGTCAAAGCTGTGGTTATGACCCGAGATGACTCCAGTGGAGGATGGCTGCCCCAAGAAGGAGGTGGCCTTAGTAGGGTTGGTGTCTGCAAGATCCAGTGCACAGAGGCCAATGGAAGGAATGGATTTCTCATCCATGGAGAAAGGCAAAAAGACAAACTGGTAAATTAAATTGATTTGGTATTTATTGTCTTTGGCCCCTTTTCTTCCCAAATGCCCCCACCCCCAAACTTCCTTAACACTTCCTAAACTCCTGTGTGATACATCTACAAAGCTTCTCTTATTGTAAATGGATGTTATCTATTATTTTCACAAAGAGTAAGGTGCATATTAATGTTTAAACTCCTTAAACATTTAAAGAGAATGAGAATGGAAAACAACACATTTTTTTCTCCAAAATTTATTAAACAGATTAGAAATATGTCTTTTAAACAACTAGCAAAGCCAGCCACATTATATGAGATAACTCAAGCTTTTGAAATGGGACTGAATCAGTGGTGGGTTTCAAAAGTTGTTCGAACCTACTCTGTGGGTGTGGCCTCCTTTGTAGGAGTGGCTTGCTGCCCATGTGACCGGATGGGAGTGGCTTGCCACCCATGTGACCGGATATGAAGATGCCGACGACACTTGTCAGAACCACCTTAAATTACCTCACACACAGCACTGGCATGCATAAGAATATGATGTAAACTTGTTTTTTAAAAGGCATCTTTGGTTTGCGTTAAAATAACTTCAACACATGCAATGTTCTGATTGCACCACAAATGCAGTAATCATCCTTACCTTTCACAGAGGCACTGAGTTTTATAAATATGAGCATGATAGTGTAGAATAATCATATCCAAGGACCAGTGATGGGTTTCAAAATTTTTTGGAACCTCTTCTGTAGGTGTGGCCTGCTTTCTGGGGTCCACTGGTGGAACCTCTTCTAACCAGTTCGGTAGATTGACGAACCGGTTCTACCAAATAGGTGCGAACTGGTAGGAACCCACTTCTGGACTGAATTATTCATACCATTTCATTTGAGATGAGAGTCCGGAAGATCAAAAATGCTGTGATGATTTAAACTTAGCTCTTTGCCGTGACTGTGAGTTGCTCTGGCCATAGCTTCCTGCTTCTTTGTGGGACAAATTTTTGGAATTCTCTTCTTGCCCACTTTTAATCAGAAGGTGCCCCTGTCCACAAGTTTATTCTGGTCTAATCCAAAGATGGGGTAATAAGCTAAAGAGATAATAGATACATGTTTTGTTGCACCTTTAGGTCTTGGACATAACAAATGAGGCCTGCAATAAAACATTACAATGTGAAGTCTTCAAAGTCCCAGCCAACTGTGCCTTTCTCAGCAATATTCCATTCCAATTGTAGTCAAATGTGATGCTAGCCAGGAAATACAAGAAAGGGGAGACAATATTTCTAAGGCAAGAAGAATTGACAAAGAACAAAAAACAAGTTAGTTGTGGGTTGAATTATTGTTAGTAAAAGCAGAGTATGAACTAGAAGCAGTTTATATATCTTAGATACTTTAGATAAGGTAAGTTAATGCTGTTTAGCAGACAATCACATTCATGAAGAAAACCATTCCATCCTTTCATTTTCTGTGGCTACTGAACATTTTTATTCCTACTTGGGTTGCTTCTGGCTTTACCCTCCTCATTAAATCTTTCTGCCTCTTCCCCTTCTTTTAAAGCAAGTTTTGCTTCCTCAAATCAAGCTAGCTTTCTGGGTGGCCTCTCACAATTGAAGTGGTCCCATCAAATGTGGGGCCTGCTTGAGGTTCTAGGTGACTCTGAATATGCTTTTGCCTTGGTTCTGCACCCCAAATTCTTCAGGTTTGTCACTGAAAATATGGCCAGGATTTTTTGCATCGTGGGCGAGTATATATATGCACATCCTGACAACAGAAAGAAAGATGCTTACCATTTCTCCAGGGAGTTCTGAATTGCATTTGGCCATTATGATTGGTGGCAATCATAATGAGTAAGAAGTGATGACTCAGCAATTAAAACCCTGAACTTGTCAGCTGGAAAGCTGAAAGCCCAGATTTGAGACCCAAGTGATGCATATTGGGGTGAGCTCCCGTTACTCGCTCCAGCTTCTGGCAGCCTAACAGTTCAGAAGCATGCAAATGCAAGCTGGTAAATAGGTACTGCTTTGGTGGGAAAAGTCACTGTGTTTCATATTTTCATGCTGGCCACATGATGGAAACATCTCTCAGGCAATGCCATGCTCCCTTGGCTGGACAGAAGAAACATTTAAACCTTTATAATGAATAACTTAATTTACAACTCAATCATAAATGAATAACTTAAAATAACTTATAAGGTTGTTATGTTCAGTATTAGTTATAATTCAGATCTCACTATCCATGTCTTAACCAGTATCACAAAACATAGATGTTAGCTGTTTCCAGTTGAAAAGAGAAAATAGCAAAATTGTTGGTGGGTAGTTCCCACAACCCCCAAAACCATAACATTTTGGAAATTGTTAAAAATGTGGCTGTTCTACAGTGAGTGGATAAACCACTGATAAATGGAGGTACTGTTAAAATAAATATGAATGAGATGATGAATCTGTTATTATGGTTTGGTGATACAGATGTTTTTAATGAGCTGGGCTTTACTGATTCAGTGATACTGGTTTGGAGATGTGCTTAAGGTCAAAGCACTATAATAAATTAAACTCTAGTATCTTCTAATTAGCATGCCGGTTGGCCTTCTACCAGTGTATTATGATAACTGTAGTCCAATATGTCCAGAGGATACTAAATTAGACAAAGCTGTTACAGGAAGAGAAAAAGCATAATGATTACATGGTTGATTATGATATGTGAGTGGTCAGTGTGGTACTAATTGCCCAAAAGAAAAGAATATTTGTAACTCAGGGTTGGAATCCTTGGTATTCTCTGAGCTTAGTTGTTTGCTTGCAGAGACAACATCATGAGTCCTAGTGAGTGTGGGGCTTGCTCTCAGTAGGTTGTACTGCCAGTGTTGGTAGGAATATAGTTTTCTCCTTGGTAGTCCCTTGATTAGGGTATTGTTTTCTGCTTGATTGTTTGTGTTGTGTTAATCCCTGCTTATCTGGGTATAAACTGCTGAAGAGGATGTGTTCTAATTTTTTGTTCCTTTTTTAGCTTTTTTATTCTCTCTTTTGAACTGTACTAAATGTGATTTATCTCTACATGTCTATTTGTCTGAATGCCAGACTTCCAGGAATTCCCTAGCATTTTGGGATTTGGCTTGGTCTAAGATAATTTCCCAGTTGAAACTGTGGTTGAGTTTGACCATGTGTTGTGAGATTAAGCAGTTTTCATTATAAAATGGGTAACGAAGAGCAGCAATGACTCCATGCTACTAACTATATAGCAATATAGATTGGATTTCATTTTGCATGAAAAGGAGTAAAGTCATGAATGCTGAAATGGTACAGCATTTATATACACACATATGTGAAGAATAAGTTCCTAAGGAAGTTAAACTTGGCTTTGCAGAGATATGAAATATTGTGTGTAATATAAAAAATTTTGTTCCTGTATTAGCCAAGCAGGAAATGTTTCAAGCATGTTGTCGTGTCATTTAATTTTCCTGATTTCTTGTGTTGAAAGAAAAGTCATACCAAACAACTGCAAAGCAAGCAGATTTTTTTTTCATGCCTGCAAGAGGAAGTAGTAAATTATGCTAATAAACTTGTGTCCTTTGCCTGTAAATATCATCATTGCACATCTTTGCATTTTCACCCCAGGTGGTGCTGGAATGCTATGTGAAAAAAGACTTGATCTACACTAAGGCAAATCCTACATTTCACCACTGGAAAGTTGACAACCGAAAATTTGGACTCACTTTTCTAAGCCCTGCTGATGCACGAGCATTTGACAGAGGGGTGAGAAAAGCCATTGAAGATCTCACAGAAGGTACTATACAATATCCTACCACTTTAATGTGTGTAGCAAAATGGCTGTCTTCTCTATTCTCCACCCCACCCCCACCCCTTTCCCATTTTTTTGTTTTGATTTTGGTGCTAACTTTGAAGACAGAATGTTGCATGTCTTTCACAGAAGCCCTGCTACGTTACTTAAATCAGAGTCTTAACCTTCTGTATTGGCTTTCAGAGAATGTGATCCCATCATTCAGCCCATCATTCAGTCCTCTGTACTATCTAGGAACTGTTTTGTTAGAAGGAACTGTAAGGTTAATCCAGAGTGACCAAGTGTCATGTATTTCTCATACTGTGGGTCTTTCTTTTTATTTTCCATATTTGCTGTTATCCTGAATATACTTTTTTAAGATTGATGTTAAATTGTAATTATTCATTATTATTTTGCCAACTGATTCGTACCTTGGGCTTTATACAGTTGGAGAGTGGCAAGAGGAAGTCGAAGTCCTAATTCACCTATTTTTTTGTACCATTCTAAAACACTTGATCAGGAATTCACCCAATATATATATATATATATAATTCACCCAATATATATATATATATATACCATATAGAATTGCTTTCGTGAAAATGCAAAAAAAATGTCTTTGCTCTAAAAGTACATTGACTTGGTTTTAAGATGCTCTACTTCATTCCAGCACAACACTCTGGCTTGTTTGACTTTAGAAATGTGGTCTTAGCAGGTGGCTTATGAGAGGGATGGCTGTATCCAGAACAAATATTTACCCTCTGCTTAATTTTTATAAATAGGATGGGCTGGAATATAATATTTAATCTAAATGAGCAACACACATTTTAAAATGTCTTTGCAGGTTCTACAACATCATCTTCCACGATCCACAATGAAACTGAAGTTGGGGATGACGATGTCTTTACTGTAAGTACCCTCCATATCAAATTCATGTTTGTGGCCAGTGAATGGTTTTTGTCTTTCATGAGAAAGTAGAGCTTAGGGGACTGATTGCCATATGCACAAACAGAAGGTTGTTGTAAAAGTGAAAATAAACTCTTCCTTAAGCGAAACAGAGCTCTTGATGACAACACAAAGATCACCTCCATTTTGTTTTCTTGAAAAGAATATTTCAATGGTTAGGTTGGTACTCTTCTAGAATACTGCTTTGATTTCCCAGGCATAGATATCCTGGTGGTGTCCCTTCCAAGCACTTATCAGGCTGAATACTACTTAGCTATTTTGAGGTCAGCCAACTTTGGCTAAATGGTTACATGCAAATTTACATGTGAGAATATTCATTATTGATGTCTTTATTTTAAACATTTCTTTTGCTTTTCTGTAACAAAAATATAAGACAAATTACAAAATAGATATTATGGCATAATTCTATCAGTAAAAAAAGTAAAGATAACAAAATGAAAGCTGTCAATTTAGTCTCTGGCTTTAAAAATGCCATTCAGTTGATAAATTTATCCTGAGCAGCCATTCTAAAGTTCTCACAATTAATTTCCCTAGGAAAAGAGAACAGTTAACAAATTGGATGGAGGTGATAAATGCTGCACTACCACAGGCACCCCTAAGTGGGAATAGCTCTATTGATTCACTCCTCTTTTTTGCTTCAAGTGGGAATGCAGCTTCATCTCACAGGTTAATGAATCTTCTAAGACCAACAATCTCCAACCTTAGTAAGTAAATAGAAAAATCTAGGATCTTACTTAATGCTTAGGTTCTTGTATCCATTTCAGAAAGTTTTGCGGCACTAGTTTAGAAATTTCATTTCTTCCCAGGTAAGAAAAAGAAGGAAGAGAAGGACATATTAATGGCGTTCCAACTGTAATCTCCAAATGATCTCTTCCAGAAGTTCTGCTAGAGCAGATCTAAACAATCTATCTCAATCAGACCATGACACTCTGAACCATATGCTCAGAGCTTATTCCCCACATCTGTTTTTTGTTTTTGTTTTTCTAAAGTATGCTTTAGCAAAAGGCTTGTGTCTTTAGAAGGTTTACTGCTTGGAGCTTCAAGATGAATCAGGACCTTGCTGTCTTTCAGGAAAACATTTATCATCTCCTTGACCCAATCGCTCAGCTCTGTCCTAGAAGATTTAATAAGTTAAAACAGGCATGGTAGACCTTATCATTCCAGGAATTTTGTCCANATACCATATAGAATTGCTTTCGTGAAAATGCAAAAAAAATGTCTTTGCTCTAAAAGTACATTGACTTGGTTTTAAGATGCTCTACTTCATTCCAGCACAACACTCTGGCTTGGTTGACTTTAGAAATGTGGGCTTAGCAGGTGGCTTATGAGAGGGATGGCTGTATCCAGAACAAATATTTACCCTCTGCTTAATTTTTATAAATAGGATGGGCTGGAATATAATATTTAATCTAAATGAGCAACACACATTTTAAAATGTCTTTGCAGGTTCTACAACATCATCTTCCACGATCCACAATGAAACTGAAGTTGGGGATGACGATGTCTTTACTGTAAGTACCCTCCATATCAAATTCATGTTTGTGGCCAGTGAATGGTTTTTGTCTTTCATGAGAAAGTAGAGCTTAGGGGACTGATTGCCATATGCACAAACAGAAGGTTGTTGTAAAAGTGAAAATAAACTCTTCCTTAAGCGAAACGGAGCTCTTGATGGCAACACAAAGATCACCTCCATTTTGTTTTCTTGAAAAGAATATTTCAATGGTTAGGTTGGTACTCTTCTAGAATACTGCTTTGATTTCCCAGGCATAGATATCCTGGTGGTGTCCCATCCAAGCACTTATCAGGCTGAATACTACTTAGCTATTTTGAGGTCAGCCAACTTTGGCTAAATGGTTACATGCAAATTTACATGTGAGAATATTCATTATTGATGTCTTTATTTTAAACATTTCTTTTGCTTTTCTGTAACAAAAATATAAGACAAATTACAAAATAGATATTATGGCATAATTCTATCAGTAAAAAAAGTAAAGATAACAAAATGAAAGCTGTCAATTTAGTCTCTGGCTTTAAAAATGCCATTCAGTTGATAAATTTATCCTGAGCAGCCATTCTAAAGTTCTCACAATTAATTTCCCTAGGAAAAGAGAACAGTTAACAAATTGGATGGAGGTGATAAATGCTGCACTACCACAGGCACCCCTAAGTGGGAATAGCTCTATTGATTCACTCCTCTTTTTTGCTTCAAGTGGGAATGCAGCTTCATCTCACAGGTTAATGAATCTTCTAAGACCAACAATCTCCAACCTTAGTAAGTAAATAGAAAAATCTAGGATCTTACTTAATGCTTAGGTTCTTGTATCCATTTCAGAAAGTTTTGCGGCACTAGTTTAGAAATTTCATTTCTTCCCAGGTAAGAAAAAGAAGGAAGAGAAGGACATATTAATGGCGTTCCAACTGTAATCTCCAAATGATCTCTTCCAGAAGTTCTGCTAGAGCAGATCTAAACAATCTATCTCAATCAGACCATGACACTCTGAACCATATGCTCAGAGCTTATTCCCCACATCTGTTTTTTGTTTTTGTTTTTCTAAAGTATGCTTTAGCAAAAGGCTTGTGTCTTTAGAAGGTTTACTGCTTGGAGCTTCAAGATGAATCAGGACCTTGCTGTCTTTCAGGAAAACATTTATCATCTCCTTGACCCAATCGCTCAGCTCTGTCCTAGAAGATTTAATAAGTTAAAACAGGCATGGTAGACCTTATCATTCCAGGAATTTTGTCCACCTTCTCAAGTTTCACAAACTGAAAAGTAAAATGGCTAGATAGACCCTCAGTAATTATTTGAATAGATTCTGTTTCAGTACTTCATATGATTTATTTACCGGACATTATTTGAAGAGTAGCTTTTAAGACATTCAGACACACTCACCTTTTTATTATGTTTATAATCTATTTATCATTGAAGGAACAAAAGGGTTCCATTCATATGTTGGCCTAGACCTACTCACAAAGCTGTTCAGGCTATCAGCATCTCACCATTTCCTATTAAATTTAATTCGTACTGTGTGTTGTACTTTTGGCACAGTTTTTCCTTTGGAATTTGGTCTGTTATTAAGCCTTAGCTCTCATGACTTAAACTGCATGATGCTTCTCTATTTCCCTCTCTCCCCCCTCCCTTAATTTTTCATAAGTCGAAGTGTTGATGGGATCATCTCTAGTGGACTGAAACAGGCATGCAATATTCTTGATTTTTCCATTCAGAAAATTGGCTAATTCTTCCCTGATTTAATGTATGGAGCATTTGAATGAGTGTAGGGTTAAAGGCATCCCATCAAAACACTCGGACTGAGGGACAGACATCCTCAGTCTGAACGTATTGTGGGTCTGGCATAAGGTTTCCTGCTGCAGTTGTGATCAGATCTTCTGTGACAGTTGGCATGTTGTTTTTATCTGTTCTCCAGTCTTATTGTAAGACAAACAACAGCAGGCAGGGTTAAAAGGTGACTTCCTTTCCTCCAGAGCAGAACTATCATTAGCCGCTGCTTCCCAGCTACCTGCCAGAAGTGATTTATAGATTCCATGGTGGAGGAGGGAGGGAAGAAAGTCAGGAAGGGAGGGAGAGCATCACAAAGCTGGAATGGCTTCCTCTTCTACACAATTAGATAGGAGCACAAAGGGAGAGAGGATCCCAATAGATACATATAGCTTTCCACAAATGTTTATCCATACTTACAGTGCTTCAAAATACCCCAAATACCAGTATTTATTGGTCCTGATATATCCCTGGAAAGAAGCAGATATGTTCTCTACTTTAGCCTCTCTGACATTGAAACTCCACTCCCTCTCTTCCCCTAAAAAGATCTCTATTGCTCCTTTGGATGATAAACTTTAATTATGTTTGAATTTCAAGAGCTTAGTTTTTGTCTTCTCTCCCAGTTTGTGGCCAAAAGCACACATTGCAATGAAAGGAGCAAAAAATGATTCAGCTGCGGCTGAAAAACATGTCCTTGCTTCCTAAGATGAAGCACCACTTTAGGGGACTCTTCTTCCATGTATTGTTTCCTTAACTCTTAAGGCTCTGGGCTTTTTTTCCCATATGCTTGAAAATAAATTTCTTCATGCTTCTTATCCTGACCCCTTGCTCTTCTCTAGAGGCAACCTGAGTAAAGTCACTTCTTCAGTTTGTCTTTTGTGAAAGAATACTGGGTTGCCAGCAACAAACATATGCCTTGAGTGCATTCAGGCAATGCACCTTTTAGAAAAAAGTTCACCTGCAGAGAAGCAGTACTGAGCCTTGATGTTTTGCTTTCTTGTAGTACTCAGCCTTTCACGGTGCAACTGTTAGAGAAGCATCTGATGTGAGGTGATAAATATTCAGACTCTTCACTGCTTCAGATTTAAAGATACTTAACCCCAGGTTACAACTTCTTAGAGTGGCTGTACCTTTTCTCCTGTGTACATGGGGGTGGGGGTGGGGGTAGAACAGATTTTCTTTCAAGGAATTGCAAACAGCGTCATGTGGAAAGCATTGCATCTTTTTACCTTCTAGTCGCAAGCACAAGACAATCCAAGGAACTGGCATAATTGCTAACACCCCTATTGATGACGTGATGTGCCATCAAGTTAGTGTCACCGTTTAGCAACCACATAGATGGATCTCTCCAGGATGATCTGGCTCTCCTTCAGATTTTCTAATGGAGCACCTATTGCCAGTGCCTTTTGAGCTCATCCATCTTGCTGCTTGTTGCCTTCCTTTTCCTTCTATCTTTGTCAATATTATGGTTTTCTCCATAATAAGGCAGCTGGGTATTTGAGATAAATTGGATACTATCTGTCCTCCCGCCCACCTCCTCACATCGGCATTTACTTCTGAAATGGGATGAGCCATCCTGAATGGCTTGGTTCAGCTTATCCTTGGTGGGGCAGGGGGGGGGAGAAGTAATATACTGGTGAAGAATAGTGTATTTCAGGAATTAACCACT